ATTTTTTTTCTTTATATGTATTTTAGGGGGTAATCGGCGATTGTAATACCGATCTACTAATTCACGTAACAAAAATCCGGTAAATTACTGTAGGCCTCTGTATTATTCTGAGATATATTTGCCCAAATAATCACGTGCGTGTTTACACTGCATACAGGAATAAAATCTTAAACCCACATCAGGCAAACTTAATTATAATTTATTTAGAAATTGAAACATATTAGGGTAGCAGTAAATCATTGCACAATTTTAAGAAAATATTTGCTCTTAATGGCTTAATATTTTTGCTTCTGCTTCTTAGGTCGATTTGGCGATGGTGGATTCTGCTTTACTGTATGAACTTTCCGTTTGGCAAATAACTTAATTTTTTGGTCACCATATGACTTGCCCTTTTCAATATTTTTTTTCATAAAAGACTAAATGAAACAATTGTTAGCAAAAAATAGTGAATTTCGTAGAAAGGAAATGTAAACTTTATTACACCACAAAAAATTTCAGGCAGGTTATAATTGTTTCAGCTAGTACGGGAAGATCCTGCCAAATTGCAGGAATGTTGAAACTTCCGTATTTCTGAAAACAATATGATTTTTGGTGCATCGTACACCAAAATAAAGATATCTCACTGCGATGACCAAATGCAACAAAGCTTGCTAGGTCTTTGTGATCAGATATCCCGTCTCTAAGGCGAAGTATTATTCTCTGATTTAATACATCCCTCATGGTCCGAACTAACTTGTAATCATGGATGAAAAGTTGAGTAACGTCGTCGAAATTTGGAGGACCCGTCTGTTCATATATGAACACTTCTTCATGGCTTTGCCAGAGGCGGGCGAGACCATCCGCACGTTTTGCTTCCAATACTTTGTCAATAATTGGGTTGATATTGGCATTACGTCGGTGCTTACTACTTTCAACCGGGACTTCAAGACTTTAACAGTGTAATGTCATTAATTTTAATTAACCATTACCAATGAATGTTCTCAGGATGCATAATTTAATTCACCTACATTCTCCATTCGATATTAAGGACAACCTTGAGCGTATTACTCAGTACCGGACTTACAAAGTGTGCGTTATATTGATTTTCTCCGAGATCACCTGATTTTAGTATATTGTATGGCGCTTGGAAAGCTTCGATACTTGAAATAAAATAAAATCAAAGATTAACACAAATAGATCGAAAGTATAAAAAGAATCATAAAAGCTTAAACATACTATGGGGCGAGAATATTATATATCGCATCTTTGATCACCAGGTCTTCATTACATTTTTTTTTTTTATCAGAAGTTACACGAAGTCCACGCCAGGCTTCCAACCATTCTGCTAATGTCTCTTTTGGCTACTTGGCAATCAATGAATAATAAAATTAGCTAAATCAAAAGCAATTCACCTGTCTAGATTTTGCAACATACCTCAAAGATATCTTGTATTAAATCTTCCCATGTTTTAGATATTTCGTATTCAGGATACGTATTTGACACAAATTTCTCCCATATTTCTTCAGGGAATTTTTCTGTAAATCGGGAGGTAGGTCTAAGGTCCATTATATCGCTCTAATAAAAAGGTGATAAAATATGAATAAGTCTACCTACTTTAAGTTCATATAAACCACAAAACTCTACTCACTCAAAAATATTTTTTTCGCATTCATTACAGTAGTATTCGAAAGTTTCTTCCAAATCGACATTCTCCACAATCAGTGCCGTTCTCTCCACTTTTCCAACCATTGATTCGGTCATTTTATCATCCAAATCTGAGTTAATTCAAGCGATATGTCAGTCATGTAGCAACCTGTAGAAAACCAACGTACCACTAGCTATAACATCATTCGCTTGCTTGTTGTAATCCTCTTTGTTATTGTTACTGAAAGAAGTCAATGGTATCTCACTTTCTTTCGAGCTTGCTTTATGTTTTTTTGATTTTTCTGATATCTGCTCTTCGGCTCGTCCAATTTCTTCTTGTATGGTAATGCTTTTGATTTTGCGCTAACAATAAATGATTAAGAGAAAATTGTAAACACAATATAATGCTAAGTATATTATTAGAGTCAAAGACAATATATACTTTATGTACTCGATCTGAAATAGCCAGTGATTCTAATTTGTGAGATGCTCTTTCCATAACAAAATATTTGCGGAATCGTTATCAGAGTTCTTGACGAAAATATGAAAGAAAAGTTAAACCAAAGTATTTCATCATAGATTGCTAAATTAATTGCCTGTTAGCCACACATGCTATAATCCGGCCAAAAGGCCCAGACTATAACATGCTTCCCACTTCGGGCAACAACACGAGTTGCCTTGTGCGACGAATCGCTCAGAACACGACTGCAGGGTCATAAGCAGATAATATTAATGGAGCTATCAATGCATATTACAATCGGCCTAAAAGACCCAGACTATAGTATACTTCCCACTTCAGGCAACAACGCAAGTTGCCTTGTGCGACAAATCGCTCAGAACACGACTGCAGGGCATGGTAATATGCTTCTATGATAAAACATAATGTGAAAGGCACTAACCTCCAAAGCCTTTTTCAAGGCGTTTGCCTTGGAATAACAGCAGCCTCCGCTTGGTAGTTTCTTAAGAAGGATACTAAGTTCAAAACTCAGGGCACGATGTGCCTCATTTTTATTACATCCAGGAAATTTGTCGATATAATAAAAGTCCCAGTCGCTCAAACTCCCCAAGAATCTGGGACACGACTCCAGTACGCTAGAAAGAGAACGAAGGTATTGAAGTTGTTTCTAGTGATCATAAAAAGTTTGAACAAAAGCCTACTTGCGTGGTGAAGATCCTTAATCTTCCCTGTTTCCCCTGCTGAAGACTGGTTGTTATTTGCTGTTGCGGACGAGGATGTTTTTAACATTTTACTTTCTAAAAAAATAGAATTGCGACTGAGAAAATTTTTTCTTGAGGAATGAAAGTCGCGTATTTTATTCAATCAGTTACGTCACCACTCATGATCTGTTATGTGTCACATTCGTTATATCACGTGGTGATAAAATCAAATGTCGATCTTTTTTTATATCATGTAACGTTCAATTGATTTAAAGTAATAAAAAAAAGATCGATAATATTTCAAAAACTAATATAACAATGCGCAGTTTTTTTGCATCGATATATCGTTCGTTCCTTTCTTTACATTTCGGTAAAAAAAGATCCGGCGATCTCTGCTCTTAAGAAAGTTATATGAGAGCCGAAATTTTAAGGTTAAAATTATATATATTACAATATACATGTATTTTATTTAATAATTTATAATTTACCAAGTTTAAAATATATTTAAAGTCTACCAATATTTATTCAACTGCTGCTTCTTTATTTTCATTATATAATATTTCATCATTTAATAAACTATTATTAATATTATCATCTTTTTATGATCTTTTTATATAGGATTTTACATTAAAGACAACACCTTTTTTATAGAATTTATATTTAATAATCAATTTTTTTTTTTTATAAAGTGCAGTAGTTCGCTTAATCTTATTATGATAAAAGTAAAATATTTATACATTTATAGATAAACTAAAAACAAAATAAAATACAAATCACAAGAAAAAACAAAAGTCTCATTTAAGAATTAATTAAAAAGAAGACTGACCTTACACTCCCCCTGAATCAAACCTAACTTAAGCTAAATATATCATTTTCTAGGAAAAGAAATGAACAAAAGAAGAAAGGACATGATCACTACTGCATCAAAAATTTGACTAGTGAGATCCTAATCACACTATGGTATTGTTAATTGTATTGGAAGAAAGACAAGAAGAGAAGTTGTAATCAAATAATACAAAATTGTTTTTTCTTTAGAGTAATATCAGCAAATTTTCTAAAGCTTTCTGAATAATACATCGATCTGTTCCAAATTTTTTGGATTTGTTCAAATATAAAGTGCATAAGGAAAAAACAAGCAGCATGTATTATCAGAATATTATTGAGTTTGTTATTAATAAATTGATATAGTTGGAGGGGAATATTCTCTTTAATGAGAGTAAAGAAAGAGGCGATGTTGTATGTGCAAAGTTGCTAATAGGTCAATTGCTTAATTTCAATATCAAACGTATCAGTAAGAAATTTCAAATGATCTTTTATTTGAAATATTATAATTTTTATTTCGTAATTTACTATTGGATACATTCAAATATAATAAAAGACTTTATCTACTGCATTGCATCTAAAATACAGGAGAGAATATGAATAGAATTTCAGATATCTTATTTTCAGAATTTTCAATATAGAAAACATTTTCAATAATCGTTGATACTTAGCTTTTCTAATAGCTGAAGTTATATAAAAAATACAGGTAGAAGCAATATTGTCTTTAAAAGAGAAAAAAGTAGCTATCTAATAAAAACGAACAATTTGAGAGTTCTTTGCTAAGATGTCCAGTTGGTTGAACTTTGAGATTGATAATGCTCTATGTAAATTTTTAATGAATTATCGTATTAGTATTAAAATAAATAATTTGATAAACTATGAAGTCTTTGTAGGAGTTAGATGTATTAAGTTATAATACAAAGAACTGAATACTATTTCTAGTAAAAGCATCAATCTTGTTGTTATATATGTTATTTGAATGAGTTTAACTTTAATTAAGGAAATATTAAGATGATTTTATAAAATAATATTGAATAGGTAAGATCAATTCATATAATTGTTAATTTTAAGAAATGGGTAGAATATAGGAGATAGAAGAAAAAGAGTTTTAAAATGGAAAAATTGAGATATGATAACCGCTGAGTTAGTAAAAATATTCACTTTACATTTAAGAGAGGCAGTAATTAATGTAGTGAAGATTATTACGAATTCAGGTACAGCAAGTCAGTAATAAAAGGCAGTAATGTACATTTTTGATGTTCCAGAGATTTGTTATTCTAGCTATATGTCCTAACCTGTTCTACACTATGTTTCAAATATCCTATCTGTCTTATCTATGTCCTATCAGTGTCCCATTAATGTCCCATAATAATACTGATAAAAGGTGTAGCAAAAAAATATAAAGATGAATCTGAGTGAGTTTGTAATCATGTCAGTTCATCTTAATAGAAGAAAACCTAAATTTTAAAGAGATCTATCTGTATAAACTTCTAAAATTAATGAATTAATAAAGAGCTGAGCTAAGTTTAGTAATTATACATTATATAATAAAGAAATATATTTGTCAATAATAATAGTAAATGTTTAAGAAACGAAAGGTTTTCAGAACATTTAAAAATGAAGAATTAAAATTGGAAAATAAACTGGTTAAAGTAAATTTATGCAGAGCTCCTATTGAGAGAACAATGTGTAAGATGTCATAATAGCAATTCTTAAATTTAACTGAAATTGATATATAAGCTATTAAGAATAGTAAAATAATATTTGAAAAATCTGAAGTCTAGTTTATATGCATTTTTTTGATAGAATGAGTAGCGATCATTAGTTGAAATAAGACAATTCAACCTAAATTTGACTAGATTGAATATATGGTTTAATATATGAGGCATGCTGCAACAAAACCAGACAAAGTGAATATTGGTATTACCAAAGATTTCAGAGATCAAAATTTAGTAATATGATTATTAAAATTCCCTATTTGTTATATTTGTTTTTTCTTAATATTAAGTGGTATATAGAATTACCTCTATATAAAAATAACAATATGAAGCTAATTTACATTAGATCTACTATGAAACCCAAGAATTATAGTACTATCAGAAGTATTTTGAAGAAAGAACAAGGTGAAAAAATTGTATCTTATATTTTCAAAATAAATGATACTCAAACACTTGAAGCTTATTTAAGAAAAGAAAGAATTACCTATGAAATTTATCAAGAGGAAAAAGTTTTTAAAAGAGTATTAGAGAATTCTAGTAAAGAATCAAGAAAAAAAAGAAAACTGGCAGAATAACTAAACAAATTATTACTTTTTTTTCAACTTTGTTAATTTTTAATTACTTTTTATTTTCAATCAAGATCATTTTTTAGTTTGTTTAACTTCAATTTGAGCAACTAATTAACCATTTTGCTGTTGTAATTGGGTTAATTGAAATTTTAAATTATTGATTTCTTTTATTAATTCTTGGGGAGTTAACTCTTTTAGTTGCTTATTTTCCTCTTCTAAGTGCTTAATTCTATCCAATAACTCTTGTTTTTGTTTTTTATGCCAATCTTCGGCCACTTTCAAAGCCTCTAAATGAGTTTTTACTTTTTCAGTTAGTTGATTTTTTTCTTCCCTCAAACCATTTATCTGTGTTTCATAAAAAAGTGCCATTTCCCCATTTTAGTGAGGCAAAAGAGAAAGTTCTTTTTTATTTTCATTTTCTTTACAATTACAAGTATATCTAGTCTTTAGCCTTCCATAACTACATTTAAGCAACTCATCATTTTCAAACTTCTCTTTGCAATTCTCATAAGCCTTATCACTTTCAACCATTTCACCAGTTGCTTTGCTTCGTATTCTGATTTGACAAACTGCTTTTTTCAAACTAGGGCAAAAAACACAAGTAGAATTACTGCTATGTTATTCTTCTAACTCTAAGATTGTGTAAAGTAGTTCTCTCATGGTTACTTAACTGGAACTTCTATTTTAGTAATAAGTATTTGACTGTAAAACTTCTTTCTTTTGATTAATTTCTGCAACTGCTGAACCTTGACTCTTGTCTTTGTTTTTAATTGCTTAAAAGTGTTTTGCTTAATTAAAGTATTATTTTCTTCTTTAGGTAGAGTAGGCAAGGGTTTTCTTTCTAAATATAGTTGTATTTTTGGTTCTTCTTTTTCTTTTGCTTCATCTTCAAATCTCTGATCATTCTTTCTTAAAATTTCTAATTTTTGGGCTAATTTTTTTTGTAACTTTATATTCTTTGTAATTTCCTCTTCAAGTATTTTATCAGACTTTTGCAACATTAATAATTTTTGTTTGATTTCATCATTCAAAAGACCTTTTTGTCAGTTTTTTCATTCTTCAGCCTTATTTATTGCTTCAGCTAAGTCTTTAAAACTTTGTTTTAATTTTTCAATAACTTCAAAGACAACTTTATTTAATTCTTTCTCTATTCTGCTTGTTAAATTTTTTAATTCTTCTAAGTTTCAATTATGAAATTGATCTTCTCAAGAAACATTATCAATTTCTTCTTGTTTCTCATGTTAAACTAACAGAATTTCTGTAAGCTTTTTTTCTAAATCTTCAACTTGCTCTTTATACTTATTCAAATCTGCTATTTTCTTTTCATACTCTCTCTTTTGTTCAGTAAGTTGATAATCTCTTTTACTTCAATTTGAAATATAACTAGAATAACTTGTAGCTAATTCTTTTGAACTATCAATAAACTCCATTAACATTTCTTCAATTGTGATGTTGTCAAATCAAATTCTTTTGCAATTTTTGGCTCATTCCCTTGTTTTATTAGGATCTACTGCCATTCTAAATTTATCTTCATCCATTCATTTCTTGTTTAGTTTCTTATATTATCAATGACCAGGAACATAACTATTTTCATCAGGTTGACCAGTAAGGTATCAAATTTTTAATTTAAGTTCTTCTATTGATTGTTCTCTTTCTTAATCTTTATCAGCTAACTGCTTTTCTAAATCAGCAATTTTGTTTAATAGTTCTTTATTTGCTTATTATTGTTCATTTATTATGTTTTTCATGATTTTTGTTAATTATATTCTTTAATTTTTAATAAATACTTAATATCTTTCTTTTTATAAAAGCATTATTAAGTATATAATTATTTTATTAGTTTATTTTTAAATTTTCTATTCATTGTCAGCATAAATTGGTTTTGGACAAGTAACATCTTTAAATTCATCCCTTACAAATGGGCGAATATTATTATAAAGGTATTCTTGTCTTTTGTAATCCAAAGGAGGTGGTGTTAACACTAAAATAGATAAAGCTCTAATTTCTTCAAAAATATCTGTTCTCCTAATTTTTAATAAATCAAATTTAACAAAAGAACCATTAGCAACTTCTTGAACTTTTACTGTACCAAGATTAGATGCTTCAAAAAGAAAATGTTGATATTTTTGCAAACCATTTAATTTCTTAAAATAAATTTCCAAAATAGCTTTAATATCCAAGTATTAAAAACCTTTTCTACCTTCATAACATCTTCTATATATTTAAAATCATTGTCGATCACGTAGTGTAATATTTATAATACCCTGTATAAATAGATATTCATTATAAGTCACGTGATCACGTTACGTTTTACATTGCATTGTATTGAAAATCATTGTCTAAGCCTATTGTTTTAATTCAATCATTGTCTATTATGTCGAATATTCTCTATATTATATTTGTTCTTTATTATTAAAAATCTGAATGCTATTTTTTTCGTATCTAAAGAAATCGTATTGCATTTATAATCACGTGATTATAGATTCTTCGAAGAATCTGGAGAATCTCTTATCACGAGGAGTCATTATATAACGAGCGCGTGTCGCATCAAATTGTTAGTCATTAATCATGTGTTCATGTTTAAAAGAATTGCGTTACGTTCACTAATCACATGATTATGGGCTCTAAAGAATCTGAAAATTCTCTTATTGATTACGTGATTGTAAACTTCAAAAGAACTCTTTTCTTTAGAAGTTTCTTCTTTGAAAATATATATCGGTAAAATTTTAAAATATAAACTTGGTTTTTACAATATATATATATATATATATATCTACAAAATTATTATGAATAAAGAAACTCTTAAAGAACGTCAAAAATGCTTCAAGCTGAATGCTAGCAACATTTTCGCGAATGGATAACACAAAGTGAAAAAGAAAATATAGCTTCATATCCAAAGAGAAGAAAAGGAGATACTGAAATTAATGAATTATCTCAGACTCCAAAAGCACGTATCTATCTATGGATTTTATCTGGATTGCACCGTCATACATTAGGTGATATGAATCATAAATGTCACAACTGCGGAGCTATGATGTGGTTAAGCCTGAATTAATTTCATTTTTTAGAGATGTAATGTAACACTAATTTTATATAGGAAAAAGCTTTAAATTTGGCTAGAATTACAGATTTGATTCGAATTATTGACAATCAGTGATAATCCTGTGCATATGACTGCGTATGACTGTGTATGAAAAATTTATCTTTAGAACAAAAATGAACTGGGTGGTCTGGGAATTTTGAAATAGCTGTAATTAATTGATGATTATATATATATATTGACCGTTGACGTAAACAACGGGTATATACTAGTTGAGCTTTATTTAATCCTGCTGGATTAGACTTTTTTACCACCTCAACCATATGATCCAGACAGTCTACTCTTGTTCTTCTATAGAGTTTTTTAATCATCACAAAATTGCCGTCACATTTGAATTTGATATGTCCTGAAACCATGAAATTTAATTTAATGTTTTCATAATAACCACAAATTATCAAATATAAATAAAACCAAACTGTTATATTGTTTTTATTCTGTCCACCTGTATTATCACAAGTAATCTTTAAATACTTTTTACCTCTATTCAATTTCTTGATTCCATTAAAGATCATACTAAAGGTGCCATTAGGACCTTTTCCTATAATTTCATCTTCATTAAGAACATAATTAATTTGTTCCTTTGTTGCTTCATCTTGAATACCAAATAAATGAACTTTACATAGACTAAGGTAATAAATTTTACTTACTTGTTGATCCAAATGTGACACATAAACATTTTGGGCTCAATCATAACTATAATGAGCAGTAGCATCAATATTGCAATATTATGTTTTACCTTTGGAATAACATTGATCAACTAGTTTTCTTTGTTCCTCTGCTAATTTGGTGTTTTTATTGTAATAATTTCTTTTTACTTTGGCTTTAGACAGATGTTCTTTAAATCTTTTGAGTAAATTTTTAGCTTCTTCCTCTTAGCGAACATTGTATTGTAAACCATTTCGAAAATGTTGACAAGTATCACACAAGTCAGTCCTAAGACTCATAATTTGAATTTCTGGTGTCAATTGATGTCATAATTTTCTGAAAGCATCATATTTCAAAGATTTCAAATTACTATCTTCTTCTAGACCAGCTAGAAAATCTCTGTGTACTGATTTATAACTCATTTCAGCTGGTAAGAATGTAACTGATTAAGTTATTCTATTGATACTTCTTCCTGGACTTAGTAATCTATGGACTTCTGCATAATTTTTCAGAAAATTCTTTACTACTTCTGCAACATTTTTATCAATCATCATCTTAGTTGTCCATAGAGGCATCCTTTTAATATTGTTATGAATTCTTGGTAGGAGACCATTATTTATTAAATGATTTCTAATATTTTCAAAATAAGTTCTGCCAATTCTTAACATATTGAGATAAGTTTCTTGACAAAGGAGTATATTATAATCCCAATAATAGAAAGTTTTTTTGTTAGATCTAATTTTCTTTTTAAGGCGTCTACTAGTGCTTGTTAATCCATCATCCATTGCCTTAAGTTAGGCCATTAAAAATATATCTTGTTTAAACTTAGAAAGAGCTTGAAAGGATTCCCTTAATTCTGAAAATTTTTTCTTAGGAATTCTTGAAGAACAACCACAATTACATCCTTTTTCTAAAAAATCAATGGCCTTTTGATATTCATTAGAACTATTATGTTTATTACTTTTCATATATATACACTTATCCCTATATATATAATTTTATATTTACTTTGTAAGGTTTTTTTAGAAATTATTTGTTAAAAAAAGTAGTTATAAAATTAGCTGGAAGTTAAAAGTTCTAAGAAATATGGTTTTAGTATAAACTAAACAAACAAACTATTAGAAATCCATTAATAAAATCATGGTAAGGTAATAAACAAATATAACATTCTTTAATAGAAAATATTTTTTATTTTAAAGTACACTATAAGAATAATCTAATTGGTAGATTAGCATGCAATATGATATATATAAAATTTAATTTGATATTTATGATTTAGTTTATAATTTTTGTGAACAGGTCAAGCATCAATACAATCAATCCTGTTATTACAACACTCTTTATTATGAATTATTATGATATATAATCAAGAATCTATGCATTAATCTAATTTAATTCTATATTTTATCATTTGTGTAGCTTGTATTAAATTATAATAAAATAAACAAATTATGATTATGCTAAAACAATGTCAATATAAAAATATAGTATAAATAATTTATTACTCCATCTTGTATATCAATAGTTCCATACGTTTAATTATCTTCATTTTTTCTGAACATTTTCCCAGTATGGGATCAATTCAAGCAGTCAATAATTGCTTAAAGCTACTTGTGAGATCTAATGATGAGGTTGTGAGATTTGATATAAACTGTTTCAAAAAACTATAGATATTTGAAGATAACCCAAATAATGCAAGTGGCATCTGAAAATGTTTACGGAATGCTATGATTTCAGCATTTGAGACATCATTATTGTCATCAATTCTAATCTTCTTAATAAAATTTTCTCTTGTTTCATCATCATCTGTTTGATAATTTTTTAAAACTTCTTCAATTTTACACTTGCACAAAGCAATTTGACGTGTTTGAGATGATTCAAAAAATTCTGTTGGAATATCAATAAACTCTTGTTGCACCTAATTGCAAATACAATGACAAAAATGGCATATGTGGAAGTTCCTCAATGCCTATATATGCTGGTGACAGTAAAGCTGTTGCAGAGAGTGGATAGTCATCACCTTTATTATCTGTAAACCAATTTTTAACTTGTATTAGTACATATAAAATATGATCTTTGCTAAGCTTTTCATGAAGAGTGCTTATATATATAGGTATAATGATATCTACTTCCCGTTGATTTTATTTATATGAAAATGCAGTATCACAGATCAGAGCATCACAGAGACTTTTTCTATCTGGTGTATATGTAATATTAATAAAGTGTGTAAACTTAATGTATACTTCACCAAACTTTGTTCCTGTAAACTTTACTTGTTCTTCAAGATGATTTTCTATTTTTCTATAAATATTGTCTATAAGTAGTGATTTTAAAAATTCATTCATAGTCATAAAATGAGAATAATCATTGCCAACATTTGTGCTATCTGGATGTTTCTTTTTATTACAATCATCCTAAGCTTTAAGAAGCAATAGTCTGGCAGCAAGTTCTCCACGGTAACCAGCCTCTACTACACCTTTCTTGAGTGCTGAAGAGAGCTGATTAATAAGTTCTGTGAGGTTGACATTTGGATCATTCATTATCTGAGCAGCTGCCTCTGCCAGCACAGGTTCAGTAGGCATTGATATAATAATGCATTCACGATTTTCTGAAATATCAAGACAAAGGTGCATATAGCTTGCTATTAAATGAGATGCATATCTAGATTGTAGCACTATGTCAATACATAAATGAGGCCCAAAAATAGCCAAAGTTTCCACAACAGTAATTTTGTTTTGGGTTTCTTTTTTCCAAAGAATGAAAGACTTCCCACCAATAAGCTTGTTCATGGCCAATTCAATAATACGTTCTGGTTTGAATCCTTCAGTACCACTAAATGATAATAGTGCATCCCACAAAGGTCTTCCATATTGAAAGAAATGGTGTGGATCTTCAAACTCTTTCAGCGTTCGTACTTTTTTAAAAATGGTATTCATATCTACAGTGTCTAACAAATAAAATGGTTCAAATAATTGAGATCCTCTTTCTGCAACCCTTTTTGATGGATCAAGGTAAGAAACAGGTGAGAAGTTTGAAATATTTGAGTGAGTATCTGTAAAGGTTGCAAAAATTCCTATCTTTTTCGGTAGAAGTTTTAAAGCATGACGAACATGAAAGAACAAGATTTCCTTTTCAACCTTCTTATTAATCAGAGTACGAGCTTCATCAAATGCAAATAGACATTTAACTGAACCTTCCTGTGTTATTATTCTTTCTCCATCCAAGTATTTATTAATACTTTCAGTCATTGTATTATCTGTAGTATTTTTCATAAGATCGGATATGATTTTAGCTATTCTGTATTCAATATCCTTCCAGAAGTCCTCCTGAGAATTATTGTTAGTATGTTCATCAATCCATTCTTTACAACTGCCATTAAATTCCTGCAACTTTTGAAAACATGTGCATATGTACGCAAGGTAGGTAACTATGGCTTTTTGTTCATTTTCAAACTTACATAATAGTATATCAGCAATATGTAATCTGAATAGATAGCCACTTGATTTGTAGTCACGCAAATAACAATACACTGTCATTTAGTTTTCTGCAAAATTCTTCAATAATTTTGATTTTCCTGTGCCACTGGATTGAACTAAGGTTGTGTATGATGCATAATATTTCTTTGTCATTTCATATTTACACAAACAACTCTCAATAAAGTCTATAAACCTTTTTGAAAGGTCACTTGGATCTTAAAAAGTTCTATCAAAAGCTTTACGGACAATTTTCTCTTCTTCACTTTCAGTACTATCCACCAACAGCTCTAATATAAAATGTATGAAAAACATTAAATTTCCTCTGATTACATTAAATGAAAAACCATTCTTAGAACAGTATCACACTTGATCAACTTACTTGAATTCACGTCCATTGTCTCTAACTGATCTAAGTATAACAAGTATCAGAAAATAGATGAATAAATTAGATAAAATAAATTTTTTATATGGTTCACAAAGAATATATAAAACAGTAAAGGTATTTACTTCTTGCTAGCCAGATGATGAAAAGACAGGGAGGAAATAATAGATTATATAGGAAAAGAGAATTAAAATCAACATTTCAAAACAGTAATGTATACCAGATAAATAAAATAAACAAACAAAAAACAATTTTTTTTTATGCAATTTATTCATTACCTTTTTTATCAAATTCCACCAACACTTTTTGCAACTCCTCTACCTACTTTAACCTATCTTCCACTTTCTTCGTTAACTCTTTTTCTTTTTTCCTTCTTGTCTTCTTGGTCAAGCTCTTTCCTTCTCGCCTTTCCCCTCAACTCTTTTAACTACTTTCTGCCATTTTCCCCATCTTTAAATTCCTTTAATTTATCCTTGGCTTCTTGATGTTCTTTATCTGCCTTTTCTAACTGTTTTTTAATTTCGTCGATAAGAGTTGCCATTATTAAAAAAAAAGATTTGTAGAATTATTTAGATTGTAATTGTTACAATTAATTGTTTCTTGTGCATAATTTCGACTAATGATAAATTAGAGGGCACATGACTTGGAATTATTTTTTCAGACAATGATTAAACGACAAAAAGGTATTTTAATTCAACTAATAATAGAAAAATATAAGTTAAAAATCGTTAGAGTACTTGTATGGAAGGAAAATACTCAGACCCAAAAGCCATTTGTGAGTATTACCTATTCTTTGAACACTCTGACAAAATTCAACTTTCACGTAATCAGTAAAAAAAATTGTAATAATAAAATTATTTTCCTTCTAAGGATTTCTGCTTTTTGTTGGATAATAGCACATTTTCATTCTGCTTTCTTTTTCTACATTTATTATTTTCTTTCTTGATAAATTTCATAGGTAATTCTTTCTTTTCTTAGATAAGCTTCAAGTGTTTGAGTATCATTTATTTTGAAAATATAAGGTGCAATTTTTTCACCTTGCTCTTTCTTCAAAATACTTCTGATAGTACTATAATTCTTGGGTTCCATAGTAGATCTGATATAAATTAGCTTCATATTAACTATTTTCATATAAGGATAGTTCTATATATCACCTAATATTAAGAGGAACAAATGGAAGATTTTAATAATCATATTACTAAATTTTGATCTCTGAAATTTTTGGTAATACTAATATTCACTTTGTTTGGTTTTATTGCAGCATGCTCCATATATTAAATAGAGGTCTATTTTTTTAGCGTAATTAGGCTGCCACTCAGCTCATATTCAGAAAGAAAATTCAGCTAAAATTTGACTAATATTCAACCATTTAACTGGTAGATATTCAACTATCATTTAGACTTAGATAAGCAAATATTTGATCTTTTAACTGGTAGATATTCAACTATCATTTAGATTTAAACGAACAAATATTTGACTTTTTATTTGACTTTAAAAATATAAAGTTTAATGTAATAAAATCGTTGTTTATATATATAAAATAGTATAAAAATAATATAAAATTATTACAAATATAATGTTCTGGTATAATATTATAATTTTCTAGAAGAGGCACAAAAGTCTTACGGATCTTCAAACATATCATTATTCTCATTGAATATCATCATAAGGTCTTCCTTTTCTTTTTCAGTTCAACTCTTTTTTGATTTTTTTTTTGCTAATACAGTATAATATAAATAAAATTAATTTCAATAGAGTATAATAAAATAACTTAACTTACTAGTGCAGTGCTAACAGCAAAAAATTTTCCTTATTTATTCAAATCTTTAGGTTAAATTTGATTCATTTCCACTGAGTTTAGAATAAAATCACACTCTAGTAAATCAGTTTTGTTATTTTCTTCATTGTCGCCTTTATTATTAACTCATTATTGCCTTTGTAACTTTTATAATCTTTATAATCTTTATAATCTTCGGTGATGTCCATTTCATTATTTATAATCTTCTTTATATCATATATCCATGATGATACATTTTTGGGAGATTTACTAAACATAATATAAAGTTCGTCATTATAAATTCAGATATGTTATTATCTTGCATATTGGATTTGTTCAGCAGCAGGATTCAAAATACATTGTAATAATCATTTTAGCTATTAAAATAAAAGTAAAAAGAAGATCGAATAAATACTTAAAAAGATTAATTAATGATCTTTGCCTTATTACCTTTTTAAAGTATCATGTGTGATCATAAATATGAATAAATCGCTTATTATTCAATCTCTTTCTAGTTTCGTCTTCTAAATCTGATTGTTTAGTAGAGTGATATCTGTTTTGAATTAAAATTGATAAAATTTCATTCTTATTGAATTCTCAAAGATTATTATCATCCTTTTTGAACAGTTTAATTGCGGTCTTTATTTGTCTATTTTTTTTCTGTCAAATGTATAAAGATTAATTATTAGATAACTTAAAATATGAATTTAGATAATATATTCCTTACTTTATTTAGTTACGCATTCATATGTATTTTTTGATCATCTTTTTCTAATTGATCCAAATTTCATTTTCATAATCAATCTCTTTTGTGTTTATGTATTGAACGTGGCTAACCTAATAGTTAAGTGACCAAAGCATTGAAGTGTTCTCTCATCATTCTTTGCAATTCAGATATTAATTTTTTATAAATGGTATTTAACTATTCATTAAATATTTTATTATAATCCAGTCGATATTTATCAGGTATTTGTTCTTTTAATAAATTTTTCATCTTAGCCTAATTAATAAAAAATAAACAATAAAAGATTATTATATATGATAGTATAAAATTCTGCTTCAAATTTTCTTATTAAAACAATTCTCACTCTTGCTTTTGCTTCTGATCTGTTACTTTTGTCAAAAGATTCTGAAGTTTTTGATTTGATTCTCTTGTTGGATCATTCAGATAAATTTTGTTGTGAAGGATTAATTAAACTTTTTAATATGTAAAATTAATGATACCTTTCTAACTCTTCGCTTAAAAGTTTATTTTTTGTGTAACTTATCCAATTCTTTACCAAAAATTTCATTAAAATTCTGAAGCAATTTATTTTCTTCTTCAACTTGACAAAGTCAATCTTTTAAATCTTTGATATTTTTTTTCATATTTGTTACTTAAAGTTTTTATTGATGTAGTTCATAACTGATTCTTTTTATTTTTTAATTTTTTGAGTTCTAAATTATCTGTTATAATTATACAGAGATGTATTGAGAAATGCTTTAATAGTATAATAAAAGTTATAATAATTTCAATTTATTTATCAGTTACCGCTTCTTGAAGTTTGTGAGTTGAAAATTAATAAGAAACATTAGTACTATTAAAACTTCTTGGTATGTTAATATTGGAATATCATTTAATAATATCTGATAATATATCAGTTATAGTTTCTTGAGAGAGAATTGCTTGAGAGGAAGTTTGACTAATTGACAGTGTGGTAGAATGACTGGTTAATGGTAAATTATTATAATCATGACTATGACCAATAAATTTGACTTGATTTTGCTATTTTTGTTTAAAATCTGAAGCGATTTTTGGTATGGTAGGTTTAGAGGAAATTAATATTAGTGGTGTTCGTAAAGTAATGAGTTTAAAGGATGTTGATATTAGTGATGTTTGTATTTGTGAAGTAGTGAGTTTAAAAAAGGTTGATGTTAGTGGTATTCATATTTGTGAAATGGTGAATTTAGAAAAAGTTAATGCTAATTTTATTTCTTTTATAACTACAAGTTTAAAGGATGTAATAGTTTATATATTGAGTTAAGTGTTTTATAATGCAGTAGGTTAAGAAAGTATTGATGGAGTTGCAGCGATATTTGATTGATAACCTATTGATTAAGAACCATTTCTTTGTGTATTAAATTGAAAAGGAACTGACAGTATTGATATATGTTATCACTGGATTCATTTTCATTTATCTTAATATCTAAGTTGAAAGGCTGTGATAGTTGATTCTACACATTAGAGTTTCTGACTTAGGATTTTCTCTAAGTCCTATAGATATATGTTAAACTTAAATCAACTTGATAATTTATCACGTCTTAAAATTTAAGATATATTAGTTAAACTCATAATGATAAACTTAATAACAAGTTAGTGTAGGTATCATGACAAATTCTAGATAAAAGACCAATATTGAAGGGAAAAGTAAATTTGTATGGATTTAAATTGATTCCTTTATTTATAACTTGAAATTCATATGAAACTTATAAATAAGTTAATTTACAACTTAAGTAAAAAGCTATTCTATTTATACAAAATAAATTTGCTATGGCTAATTATTTGCTATACTATAAACTAACTATTTTAGTAAACTTCACTTATAAAATAATAATAAAAGATAATAAAATAAAGATATAAAAAGAAGATAAAATATAATGATAATAAAAACAAAAGAAATAATAAAAATAATAATTATAACAAAAATAATAAATATATAAAAAATTTAATAAAATAAACCAATTAAAAAAAATCAGATGAATTTTGTAAATCTTTCAAATTAAATAAATCAGTCTAATTTTCTAATGCAGTATATTGATCAAGATCTTTCTTAATATAATTTATATGAAATTAAATTCAATGACTTTGTAAATCATTTTTTTAAGACAAATTTTCAATGTTAATAATTAATGTCAAGAGAGCTATTGATTTATGTTATTAAACATTATATAATAAATTTTTTTTTTTTATTTCTTCAAAAAGCTTTTATTTAGGAAAAAGCTTAATACATCTGAAGAAAATTAATTTTTCCTTTTATATTATTTTTTTTACTATTGATAAGTTATTTTTACTATTGATTAAACTTTGATATCAATTAGACTTTCAACTGTTAATCATTAACTATCAAATAATAAATTACCGTATTCCTCTAAAAATAAGCAACCCCAAAAATAAGCAATTCTTAAAATAAATAATACCTGAAAATAAGCAACACATTGAATATTTAATTAGTTTCACATTAAAACTATATGTAATGTAATAAGAACATTTTAAATAATAAATAAAGCTCAAATAAACCAAAAAAAAGTATTTTATTAATAAATTTTTATAAAATAATTGCTTGCATCACTATCATAAAATACACATATTAATCGCAAAATTTTAACACAATTAAACATATTAATCACTTCTACTATTAACAACTTTATAATCCAGTTCACGATGCATGTAATATATATTAAATAATCAGTAATCACGTTGGAGTCATGTTAATTTTATAACACAAAAATCAAACATTTAACTATACAGTACATTAAAAAAATTTAACTACCCGAAAATAAGCAACTTTATAACAAAATTATATTGCTTATTTTCAGAGGAATACAGTATGTCAACTTTTATTAGTGTACTAGATATTTTAGCTATAACAATTTATTTTATTAATAATAATTGGTAATTTAAACATTTTGTTTTAGAAGTTTTGCATATTATTTTATCACATAATACAGAAGCAATTAAAATGCAATTTTGAAAATATTAAATAAATTTCAAATAACAGATCGATTAATTTGAATTACTAGTAATAATGAAGTAAAAATGATTGTAACAACATTTCAAATTAGAGAAAATCTTGAATCACTAAATTTTCTAACATTATTATTGTATAACCTATATAGTAAACTTAATTATAGAAATAGTATTTAAAACAAGTATTTTATCTCAATCTATTAAAGAATTATGTAATTTTATTAATACTATTAGAAACTCTTCTAACAAATAGATAAATTGAAAGAATATTTAAAATTAAAACTATTAACTTTAAAGCACTACTTTCTGATATTATAACAAGATAAAATTATACATACTAAATGATTAAAAAAGCATTAGAAATTAAACTTTTTTTAACACATTGAATTTTAAATACTTCAAATTTAATAAATAATTGGTTAATAGATGAAGAATAGAAAATTCTTATTAATTTATTAGAATAGTTAGTATCATTAGCAATAATAACAAAACTCATTTCTGCTTCTAATTATCTAATAATTGGTAAAGCAAAATAGTTATTTTTATGTATAAAAATTTATTTAAAAATATTTTGTGATGATAATTATAATTTACAAATCTAAATAAATAAATAAAGTATATATATAACAAATATTTTAAATCAATTAATAAGTTATTTCATATTCTGCTTTCTTTAATCCAAATATAAGAAAAATCTTATAAAATATGTTATATGAAGAAATATTTTAACCAATTCAAGAAAATATAGTTAATTATAATAAATTAAACACTTTTGCAACTACTTCTAAAAGTACTACTTTATAATACTAATTTACCAATTTATCAATATTAAAAATACGAAATTGTATTTAGAATTTATTTATACTTACATAAAATCTAGAACTACTTACAAATAAATTAGATATTTACTTTGATTCTCATCTACCTGATAATAAAGTGATGCTATTAAACTGATAAAAGATACATACTTTTGAATTTTTAGTATTGACAAAAATGACTTAAGATTATTTAACTATAATGTTAACATCTGTTTTATGTAAATATTTTTTTCAATTGCTGAAAAACAAATAACTCAAATAAAAAACTGATTATATTTAAATATAGCATAAGTATGTTTATATTTGATTAATTATCTACTAAAGTTAGTTAAATAAAAAAAAATTTATTAATAAAGATTATAAAATATACTGCATGTTAATATTAATTTTTATTATTGTTTAAGAATAATTTGTTTGTTTAAATAATTATTATTTATACTAAATATAGAATTCATTAATATTATTTTATATATTACTGTAAATTCATTGATTTATGAAATAAATAAATACATTTCTTTTAATAAATAAAAAGCTAACTACTATAATATTAATTAGCTACAATAATTGTCTAAAAAGCTAGAAAAAACTAAAAAAAAAATTGATTTAAAAATAAAAAAAGGAATATTTAATGTTAGAAATATTAAAGAATTAAAAGAAATAAAAAAAAATGAAATAAAAAACAAAGAAATAAAATTAACTTATTATAATTGTCTAAAGAGTCAGAGTCAAAATTAAAAGAACTGAAAGAATATATTTCTAAAAAATAAAAGAAGCAATTATTAAAAAAGTGATATATAATTAAATAATTATATCAGTCTTTTGAAAGACTGCTAGTCTTATTAGTCTATCACATAAATAGAAAATCTGATTTCTACTGATCTTATGTGATCTATCTTTTTTAGGTATAGAATTGGTAAGATTAGAATCCTTTAAAACTGTTAGTTATCTTTAATTATTCTTTAGAAATAATAATAATATTATTCCTTTTGTATAATAAAAAATTGTATCTAAGGAATAATAAATTAATTATCTTTAAGAAATGATAAATCATTATACCTAAAGAATATAAAACCATTATTCTTAAGAAATAATAAAACTAGTATTCTATATAGATCTAAATTAGATCTGATCTGTCAAATTTAGATTTAAATTTGAATCTGATTTATCAGATCTAAATACAATTACTTTTAGAGTTGAAAAATTCCTTTTATTTAGAAGGAATTAATTTTTAAATCCCTTTTAAAGCCAAAAAATAGTTTCCTTTTATTGAAAGAGAATGAATTTTAGATTTCTTTTATAGCTGAAAAATTCCTTTTATTGAAAAGGAATGAATTTTTGAATCTTTTTTAAAGCTAAAAATTTCCTTTTATTGAAAAAAAATATATTTTTTAGATCTCATTTAAAACTAAAAGTTTTTTCATTGAAAAGGAATAAATTTTCAGATTTCTTTTAGAGCCTAAAAAGGTTTTTTCATTTAAAAGAAATGAATTTTTAGATTTTTTTTTAAATTAAAAAATCATTTTTTAATAAAATTTTTTAGATCCAGATCAAATCAAATTTGAATTTAACTGATCTATTAGATCTGAATTTGAGATTCAATCTGTCAGATTTGAATCAAATCTAAATTTAAATGGATCTATCAGTTTCAGATTAGATTTAAATCCTAAAAATAAAAATCAGATTAGATTAAATTTAGATAAAATCTGATTTGATCTAATTTTACAAAATACTAGATAAAACTATTATTTATAAAAGTATTATATCTAAAGAATAATAATTATATTATTTTTAGAAATAATAAAACTATTATATCTAAGGAATGATAATAACATTGTTTCTTAGATATAATAAAACTATTACAGTCACACTTTGATATAACGAAGTTACTGATCTAGCCGATCAGGACTTCGTTATAAGAATCTTCATTAACGTTATAACGAATTATGTAGTATGTATAACGAATTATTCGTTATAGTAGATGATTACTGATTTTATTACATAAATATAATTTTACTATTTCCAAAAATATTTTCACGTTATTAATCGTTAAACGACAGTTTTATTAATTTACTTAAATTTTTTTTTAAAAAAATTTATTTTTTTAAAATAAATAAAAATAATATCTAAAAGTCCAATATGCAAATCTTCTTGGATATTCCATTCATTATTTTGAGATTTTGGCTGTTCAGCTTGAGCTAAAAATACTGCTGGATTATTATCCCAAGGATTGGCAAATAACTCACTTTTGTCAAAATCAAATAAACTCTCTTCATCAGAGGAATTTTCTTCACTATTAAAATAAAAGATATCTCGTTCATCAAGGTCTTTATCTTCATATTGACTATTGTAAGTTAGATCTTCAATTACATCAATTAGTTCATCCATAAACGTATCAGATTCTTTATTTAATTCAACAGAAGAACTGTCATAAAAGTAATTAGAACAGAGGCAGATTTCGTAAGATATATGAACTTTACTT